ATCGAATTGAATGCAGAGCAGATACGATCAACTAAATGGACTAATCCTATTTTGAGTGTACCTCTGTGAACCCAAGCTTTTAATTGCTTTGGAATTGTGTGCCATTTTGAATCACTGAAAGATGGATCATGAGTTAAATATGTAAATCCGTTATTGACCAAAGTAGAAGTACTGAGGCTTATTAAGTCTAATTTGTATGTTTATTATTCACATCAACTATTTATTTTAATATATTTCAAATATAGATGACACATAGAGATGTTTCCTTTGTTGCTGACTTCCTGTCTGAGCACTTTAAAGAGGTAAGGCTTCAATTGTTGTTCATCTTCATTCATTCAGTTTTCAAATGTAACTAGGATTTACAGTTGTCAATTGGAGGAGGAAAGTGGGTACCTAAAAATTTCTGCTTTTAGGAAATTGATGAATTTCCAAACACTGGCACAAATTCATATTTCCATAACGCATTATTGAGTTTTTGGTAACTTTGATACTGTTTTTCTTTACCAAATTACTTAAGGAACATTAGAAATAGCAGCATGACTAGGCCATATGGCATTTTGAGCCTGCACCCCAGTTTAATTCGACCATGACAGATCCTCAACTTTGCCTACTTAATCCTCTTGTCACACGAATTCCTTGGAGTCGAAACATATGTCAATCTTAGCCTTGAATAGACTCAGTGACTGAGCATCCATAGCCCTGAAAGGTAGAGAGTGCCAAAGATTCACAACTCTCTGAAGAAATGTCTCTCCATCTCAGTCTGAAATGGTTATCCCTCATTCTGAAATTTTACTGCCTAATCTGAACTCTACAACAAATGAACCAAAATCAGTCTCTTCCTGGTCAAGACCTTCAGAGTGTAAGTGAGCTCACCTTTTGTCCTTTTAAACTGCAAAGACAGATGTGATTGGCTAAATGGCCATTTCCTATTTTGAGTGTCCCTCACAAATATACCATTGTGAACCATTGAGGTCCATTCTACTCGATTCCAGAGTTCCGGAACTATTTCAGCACAGAAGGAGAGCAAGCCATCCATTCACAGTCTGTGTATTGGCTTTCCAAATGAGTATTTCACTGCATCCCATTCTCCTGCCTTCTCCCTGTAATTCTGCACATCATTCCTTTTTGAATAGTAATCCAACTTCCTTATGAATGCCTCAGTTGAACCTGCCACCAACACACTCTTAGGCAGTACAGTTCTTACTGAACCTTAACAACTTACTGTGTGAAAAAGTATTTTCTCATATTGCTTTTGCTTCTCTTCTTAGCTTAAATCTGTATCTTGCACTTGATCCTATTGACAAGTGGGAACAGTTTCTCCCGATCTGTTCTGTTTGGACTCCTCATGATTTTGACTATCTTTATCAGATCTCTTTCCTGCCTTCAAGCAGTTCTAACTTCCCTGATCTGTCTTCGTGACTCTCTTCATGACATATCTTCAACCCTAGAACCATTAGCAAGTATCTTTTCTGCACTCTCTTCATGCTTTAATGGTCAGGTTAGGGAGGGATATATTGATATTCTGTGGCATGTCAATATTAAAAAGATGTTGTGTGTCTTGCAAAACATTAAGGTAGATAAGTCCACGGGGCATGATGGGATGTATAAGTGGTAGGGAAATTATTGGCGAAGATTCTTAGGGGCAGAATTTACTGGCATTTGGAAAAGGATGGACTTACTAGGGATAGTCAGCTTGGATTTGTGTGGGGAAGTCTTGATTTGATTGATTTTTTTTTTGAAGAAGTGACAAATATGATTGATAGGGGTAGGGCAATGAATGTTATCTACATGGACTTTACTAAAGCATTTAGCAAGGTCTCTCATGGTAGGCTGGTCCAGAAGATTAAGTCACATAGGAGCCCTGAAGAGTTGGTAAGTTGGATACAAAATTGACTTGATCATAGAAGACAGAGGGTATGTCTGCGGAACAACAAACCAGCTCGGCGAGCCAACCAACCTCAACACCCACAACCTGAGCTACAGATCTACTCCAAAACCTTAGAGAGGGTACTTGTGGAGGGGTATAACCAGTGATTTTCTGCAAGGATCCGTGCTGGAACCTGTGTTGTTTGAAACATATGTAAATGATTTGGATGAAAATATAGGTGGTCTGATTAGTAAATTGGCAGACAACATAAAAATTGGTGGAGTTGTGGATAATGAGAAAGGTTGTCGAAGGATACAGCAGGGGTAGATCAATTGAGGACGAAGTGGCAAATTGAGTTTAATCTGAGCATGTATGAAGTGATGCAATTTGGGAGGTCAAATGCAAGAGGAAAGTAGACAGTAAGTGGCCGGACTTTTAGGAGCATTGATATATAGAGGGATTTTGCGGTGCAAGTCCATAGCTCCCTGGAAATAGCAACACAAGTGGATAAGTTGATAAAGAAGGTATTACGGAATGCTTGACGTTATCAGTCAGGGCATTGAGTATAAAAGTTGATAAGTCTTCTTGCAGCTGTGTAAAATTTTAGTTAGACCATATTTGGAATTTTGTGTGCAGTTCTGGTCACTAGTCTATAGGAAGGATGTGAGTGTGTAAAAGAGGTTTACCAGGATGTTGCCTGGCTTAGGGTGCCTTAGCTATAAGGAGAAGTTAGACAAACTTAATTTGTTTTCACTGCAGCATCGGAGGCTGAGCGGTGACCTGATAGAAGTATATAAAATTATGAGAGGTGCGGATAAGGCAGATAATCGGACTTTTTCTCCCAGGGTGTAAATGTCAAAAACAAAGCTTTAAGGTGAAGAAGAGAGTGTTTAAGGGAGATGTACGAGGCAAGTTTTTTTATGCAGAGGGTAGTAGGTGCCTGGAATGCGCTGCTAAGGGAGGTGGTAAAAATAGGTATGATAACAATGTTTGGGGGGCATTTGGACAGATACATGAACAGGCGGGGATTACATTAGAGTGACATCATGGTTGGCATGGACAAGATGGGCCAAAGGATCTGTTCCTCTGCTGTACTGTTCTGTGTTCATAACCTTTCTAAAATGTGGTGCTCCGAACTGAATGTAATATTCCAGCTGAAGTTAAACTAGTAACAAAAACAAAGTTGCTGGAAAAGCTCAGCAAGTCTGGCAGCATCTGTGGAGGAGAAAACAGTTAATGTTTCAGGTCCAGTGACCCTTCCTCAGAACAGAAGTTAAACTAGTGACTTGTACAAACTAACCTACTTACTTTTGTACTCTGGGCCACTATTAATAAAGCGTATGATACTCTATTTTATTAACCATGCCCTCAGTCTGTTCTGCCACATTTAATGACTAATACATGTATAATACCCCAAACCGTGCGCTGTTGCAGTTCCTTTTAAGTTATACCCTTTATTCTATATTTTCTCTGCATATTCTTCCTATAAAATCAATCACCACCCATTTCTCTGTATTGAACTTTACTTGCCACCTGTTCATCCATTCTATCAACTTGTCTGTTCTTTTGAACACTATCCTCATATTTCTCAATGCTTCCAGGTTTTGTATCATTTGCAAATTTTGAAAGTGTGTCCTGTGCATGAAGATAAAGGTCATTATTATGCACATGTATCAGAAAAACGGGCCCAACTCTGCACCCTGGGCACCTCCACTGCAAGCTTTCTTCCAGCTCAAAAAGCATCCATAACTACAGTTTTCCGTCACTTGACCAATTTGGAATCCATGATGTTACTGTCTTTTTTTTATTCCATGAGCTATAACTTGGCTTACAGGAGTGTTGTGCAACACTGTACCAAGTACCTTTTGGAAGTCCTCGTGGCTTTGAAAGTATCTTCCGCGTAGGACAGTCATCACGTTCCAGCCATCAAACTGGTAATTTCTTTTGTGCACCACCTTTTAGACAGATATATCCTTGTTTGGTTATGGAGCCCAAAAATGCATACCATTCTGTGTGTGACCAAACCACTGTCCGAGTGCAGTCTGACCTTGTGCACCAATCCTTTGGTAATAAAGACCATTGTACCTTTTGCTTTCCTTATTGCTTGCACAATATGATTATCATTGTATCCTCATTGGATGTTGGTATTTTTGTCAAGGTTAGTCATAGGAAAAGTACTCTTCAGTGACCAAGTTGAAGCTACCACAAGAGGGCTTTTTAAATCCCCAAAGAAAAGTTTTCCAAACATGGCTTTTCAAATGTAGAACATGACCATTTCAGCAAAACGCTTTTCTCATTATTTTTAAGGGAAACCATTTCTGCTTTCAAGCCAGAAGAAACACACTGACTGCATTCAAATAATCATAATTGAGACAAACACTAATTTTTCCATATTATTCCTAGGCAGAGCAGCAGCCAACAGGGAAACTTGAGTTCATCTCGTTATTCCATTAGCCAATTTATTGAGGGTTTTTTCTTAATGTTAGCTATAACACAAGTAACAAAAAGACACTTTCAGTGAGCATTTCTGTTTTGATTTGACAATTGAAGATATTGGAGCATGAAGGTAGTTAGTAATTCTAAGCTGCCTGGAACATTTAGTTCCACTGCTGTTTTGTTTTGGTATGATTATAATATGTGAATACTGAAGAAGCAGAAAGTTGTAGAATGCTTTTGATACATTAGGTCATCTTTGATCTGATAGATATTCACCCTCTTAACCCAATTCAATCTTTTTTTTTTGTTCATGGGATACTTTTTACATTAGTTGTTTAGTTTTTGGATTAGATCACTTATTCTGTCGCTTGAAAAGTCTTGCAGTCGGAAAATGAATGGTACAGTTCAGAATAAGGCTTTGAACGTGATGGCGTAAAGAAAAGTAAACTCATTAGCAAGATGAATGAATCTCTGAAAGGTCAACAACTTCTGTTCCCTCTGAGTGATTGTGAATCTTAGTTTTAATTTGTAATTATACAGTTGTCACAGATGTGCTAGGCCATATCTGTTAAATAACGACTGATTATCTAAACGACCTGAATTGTACTTTCTGATAAATTGTATTCCTGATTTTCCGTAAACTGATGCTGTGTAATTGTATGTACAACAAACAAGAATGTAACTTTCATATGCTAGATACATGTACAATTTATACAATAATTATAATATAATTATGTTTATAGATTTTCCAGAAATTGTTACCTAAAGTGCTGATTTTCAACAAAGTTTTTTGTTTCTTATTTCATAAAGGCACCAGAGCTTTATGATCAAAAGGGCCAGTACTTTAATGTTGAGAGAGTTGGTCAGGTATGTCATTTTTAACATTAGACTTGGTCTGATTTAATATTTTTTGATGTTAGTTTTTAAAACTACTGATGTAAAGTAAACCTCTTGATTTAAAATATATCATTACTGTATCTCAAATGTTTTTTCTGTTTACACTTACAAAATGATGTGCTAACTTTTTAAAGAAATTAAAAATTTCCAAATGATGTGCTAAGTTTTTAAGAAATATTCACTCAGGTTTACATGTCAATTGGGAAAAAAGCAACTGGTATTTCCCATAATTATTTTGCAATTATGTGGTTGACCCCTGAAGAAATTTTAGAAAACCTGCATATTCTTGACAGAATCCAATTGTAATGTGATTACTCTGGCTTGGGTTCAAAGAATAAAGGTTATTTGCATTTGTTATATTTCATTTCTCTTGAGAAAGCATGCCTTGAATCTGTACAATTGCAATTTGTTTTTACAGTATTTAAAAGATGAGGATGATGACCTAGTAACTCCTCCAGAGACTGAAGGAAATCCGTGGTTTACCTTCTTACAAAATAGTGTCCATCTTAAAGGTATAAATAAAGAACTCTTGAACTTTGAGTTCCAATTTTGTGGTAAAGTTGGGGTTAGGGTAAAGGACTTTTGGACTGATAGTTATCTCTGATAGCTGTTGGAGTTTTAGTATTCATAACTTGGCACAAATTGAGGAATCTCCTCAGGTGAATTCTAACTGGGGAATATCTTTTTTTCTACTGAAGGTGTAGACAGACACATTATTGAATGAGTAGAGTTGTGTTCCATATTTACCTGTTTTTATTACCATTGTTACTTGCCTGAATTGGAAAGTGTTCCATAATACACCAGCATCTTTTACATCGATGTTCCCTAGACATTCCAAATACTGTTTTGTAAGTTTTGCCCTTTAGGTATGGGTCTTGCTTGCTTTCTAAGCTCTATATTGTTGAACAACTTTCCATAACGCTACAACATAGGGCACTCCTGCAACCCTAAGCTGAACCATCCAGAACCTTTCAGAGTCAAGGACACCCTTAAAAATGAACCTTTGGCTCCTCCCTCAGTTAGCTTGACCAAGAATTGGCTTACCAAGCTGCCAAACTACCTTGATTCAGGAACATGCTTCAGCAGCATAACTAGTCCAAATTTTCAGCCTCTTCTCTGATTCTGTTTTTGTATTCTTCACATGCAAATTCCCAAAAAAAACCACAGTGTTGTGCTTAACTTCCAAAGTAGATATTTTTATTTAAGGTTATAATTTAGCATTTTGCATCTGATTGATAACCTATTTATAGTACAATGTCATGATAATTATTATAACTTAACTTTCTTTGCAGAAAGTCCCTTGCTTTTTCCATATTTTCCCAAGAAATCACTGCATTATGTTAAAAGACTTGTGGAAGCACAGATTGATAGTTGCCTACAAAAGCCGGCTGTAAGTGTTACATCATATAATCACCATTGTTACAGTGAGACCATAATAAAGTTAGGTTCATAATTTTCCACTAATTCTTTCTGGTTTTATTCATAGGAGGTGATTGGAAATTCTGTCCGTCAAGTTGTCTACATGCCTCTGTACAAGCTGCATCCAATGTAAAATTTTATTTTTTATGTTTGCTCCAGTAAAATGCGCAAGTTTTTCAATGGTATTAAATAACAAAAATAATTATTTAAATTGAAATAAAGCCGTTATTTTATATTAATATCTGAGGATCATGGACTGAGAACAACACTAGACTCGCGACTCATAGGCCCAGGCTGATGCTATGGCGGTGTGGGTTCATGTCCCACCATGACAGCTGCTGCAATTTAAGTTGTATTAATAAATCAGAATTTGAAATCTAGCCTCAATACTGGTGACCATGAAACCATCATTGATTATTGTAAGAACCTTTCTGGTTCACTAATGAAAAAACAAGGGCTACAAGTGACTCCAAATCTACACCCATGTACTTGACTCTTAACTGCCCTCTGTTGTGACCCAGCAAACCACTCAGTTCAAGGGCAGGTATGGGAAACAAATGATGGTCTTTGCCAATTATGCTATGTCCAATAGAAGAATGATGAAAAAACATTGAATTCAGTATAAACTAGCTGCTGTTTTCCTGGAGTAGTTTTCAAGCTTTGTTGAAATAAGCAGTCATACCCTTTTTTTTAATATACTTGTTTCTATTTAATTTCAGTGAGGGGATTGTACCCAGATTTTCACTACCATCATTGTAAGTTTGCTAATATCTTTAATTGTTAAGTCACCCCAAATGGAATTATGTGGTTTCCTCTGTAATTTTGTGCTTTTCAATTTTGGCAACTAAACTGAAACCTGCTGCTCATTTTTTTTAAAATAGTTGGAACGATAAGTCATCAAATCTACAGTATGTAGTGTTCACAATGCACAGCATTGAATCTTCCAGAATCTATATTATGCGAAGACCTACAGACCTTTCAAGGTGAGAACAGCATATTTGGCTCATGTAGCTTTCATGATTTTTCTGTTTGCTTCTCTGAAAACTGCTTGCAAGTGTTATATTTTAATTGAAAACATGAAACTACAGTGCATCATATATAATTATCCTGAATTTGCCACATAGGAAATACATAGATCACTTGTTTATCAATCACATTCTGCATACATATGCTTATATGATAATGCATTTACATGAATTGCTAAGATCGGGAGAAATATTCCGTTGATGCATGAAAATAAATGAAAATTCCTAGCTTTAGCTGCTTAACATTCCTACATTATCCTGTATTTGATATGTGGTAGCCCAAAATAACTTTAAAATTTAATTAATCAACATGCCACCAATTCTTGTAGCAATTTGCAGTTATACTTTATTCAAGGTACTGGCTACTGGCCTCAAAGAACAGTCTAGTTTACTAAATATTCACTGCTGGGAGTACTAGTTTTAAAAGCTGTAGTGTTCAGTCCACCAAACTCACTTCTGTTTCAGTTTTTTCTACAGTTCTTGAAATCCTTCTAAGGCCAAAACATGGTTTAATTAGCACTAACAGCTCTCGGTCATAGTCCACGTTACCATTGAGTTTTGGCAAATTGTTTAAATGCATGGACATCTAAACTGAGCCCATTTCCTGTCCCCACACATGCATGTTGACAACAAAAATGATGATGAGTAGACATCAATATTAATTGTATACTAATTGTGCCTTATTATATACAGATGTTGGTTATTAATTGGGGATTATTTTGAGCCCTTTAGAGGACCCTCTTGTGGCACATTTGGTGTTGTCCGTACCCTGGACTGGGAGGCCCAGGCTGAAGTACCACCTGCTCTAGAAGTGTGCATTAACATCTCTAAATAGATTGTTTAGAAAATGGTTAAAGAATGAAACTTGTGTCCTTTAAGTCAACAGACTTTAGAACTGTTCTGAGCCAGGAAATCCAGCTTTGATTCCACCTGGTGTGTCATAATATGTCCAAATAGCTTCATTTTTAAAAAAAAAAACACTAAACTATGTTGTGTGCTTCTAATGTATAACTCTGAGATTGACTTCAGGTCAATCCTTCCTTGAATTCCTGTTCTGGAATAGAGCTTTGAGAAGATCCAGCTGGCTTTCCTTTTCCTGGTCCCAAATGTGCTGGAAGTATATTGTTGCCCGAATGGTAGTCAGCTGAAATCTGTTAACTGTTAACTCTATTTGAGTCTATACAGCACTGAACCAGACTCTTGACTACAACTCATCCATGCTGACCAAATTTCTCAAACTAAACTTGTCCAATTTGCCTGCATTTGGCCCATATCCCTCTTAAAGCTTTCCAATTCATGTACCAGTTCCAATGTCTTTTAAATGTTGTAACTGTACCTGTATCTACCACTTCCTGTGGCAGTTTATTCCACATACAAATCACCCTCTGTGAAAAAGTTGACCCTCAGGTCCCTTTTAAGTCTTTCTCCTCTCTCCTTAAAATTGTGCCCTCTAGTTTTGAAATCCCAAACCCGAGGGAGAAGACTTTCAATGAACTCCCTAGGCCTCTCTATTCTACAACACTCCCTACGGCCCTATCATTAACTGTATGAGACCTGCCCTTGTTTGTCTTGCATCTGGAACTCTCTAATTTCAAATCTAATGTTGACCTTGCTTTAGCGCACCTCATATGCAGCTGTAACCTTGAATGTCTCGCTCGGTCTAAGCACCCTATGACCTGTATGTCCTTGTTTGTTATGATCTGCCTGTACTGCTCTCAAAACAAATCTTTTTACTGTAGTTAAGTACATGTAACAACAATAAATCAAATCAAATCAAAATGCAACACCTCGCATTTATCTAAATTAAACTCCGTCTGCCAGTCTTTGGTCCATTGGCCCAGTTGGTCAAGATCCCTTTGTAATATTAGATGACTTTCCCCACTGTCTACTATGCCACCAATTTTGGTGTCATTCACAAACTTACTAACCATGCTTTCTATATTCTGATTCGAATCATTTATATATGTTATAAACATCAGTGGACCGAGCACCGAACCCTGAGGAACACACTGGTCAAAGGCCTCCAGTCTGAAAAACAACCCTCTGTCTCCGACCATCAAGCCAATTCTGATTCCAATTGGCAAGCTCTCCCAGAATCCCATGTGATCTAAGTTTACTAACCAGTCAAACATGTAGAACCTTGTCAAAGCCCTTACTAAAGTCCATGATCAAACCTTCCTTGAGGATTTGCTGGCACAGTGGTACTATCCCTGCCTCTTGGCCAGAAGGTTTGGTTTCAAGTCCCACCTGCCCTGGTGGTGTGTCATTAGAGCAACCAAAAAGATTGATTAAAAATAATCCAGACCTACTTGGTCTGAATTCTTAGCTTTCTCATTGAGCTGTTATAGGAATCTTCTGCTTATTATTGTGCTAAAAAGATGAAGAATGAAAATGAAAGCAAAGTGTCATGCTTGGTGATGCAGTGGTTAGCCCTCAGCAGGGCCCAGCAAGTTGAAGCAGACCTCTGCCTTTTGGCTATATCGATGCAAAGTGAAATCTTAAGCTAGTAACTGGTGGACATTGATCATTAACTGCTCACAATCTGGCATAGTACACTAAAAACATGATGATAAAAGTGCTCCAAAATTGGTTATTGTAGAAATTAGAAAATTCCTTTTGATGCTGTGGATATAGCTCAGTATAAGACATATTTTCACATACAGACAGTCCCCGATTTACAAGTGCTCATGCTATCAAATATTAGTAATAAAAATCTAACATGCAAATGTTTACCAAGACCTACAAAAGGCTATTCTACATTGTACTCTATTGTACTGTGTTCCAACCTGCGTACAAATCGACTTATGAACGTACTCAAGAATGGAACCCATTCGTAACCCGGGGACTGCTTGTATTAGAAAGATGCATTTTTATGTGGTACGCCTAGCCTAGCACTAATTTTGAATCTGTGAAGTGTTACTTCTGACATCCTTTATTTACGTGGGCATGAGTTTAGTTTCATTCTGGAAATATCTTGCAGATTTAAACATGTTATGTCTATATTAAACCATTGAAATTATGCAGTGTTTTAATAAAATGTTCTGACATGATTAGATTTCACCCACAGTTTATTTAGAAAATTTCAGAATAAAAGAGAGATTTTTAATTTCAGAAGTATTAAGATTGTATTGCATATTGATCATCCAGGTGACATTTTAGGTAGCTTAATTTTAACTATTCCTATTTGTGGTGATTGTATACAGGTCTATTCCTAATTGGCTGCTTGCTGTCGAGTTTGGAGATCTGGTGTGGAGCACCAGAAATGACAGTATCAAGGAAAGGTGAGGCTCCAGTTATATCTTACTACATTCAACATATACTGTGTTCAACAGGATACGAGGAGGCACCTTGCAAGCCTTTCTGGCTGCCAGTGTTGTTCCCATGTGAATGCACAATCCCTTCACTCATTATCAGCTTGTGTACCCCACCAATTGCAAATTCTTTGGCAGCTGTTCTACTCAACATTGTGCACTATTCATAAATGAAGCGGCAAGCTCAAAGGGCAGAATGGCCTACTTCTGCACCTATTTTCTATATTTCTATAAAACCGAAATAAGCAAGCGAAACAAAGTTGGGCAGAGGTTGTGTCTGAAATTGTTGAACACTGCAGTAGTTACCTGACCTGACTATTTCCACAATTTTCCATTTTTATTTCAGGTCTACCGAAATCTGTTTATTGATTAACCTTTACAGTGAATTCACTTTGCTTAGTAGTACTTGTTTTTATTGGCTAGTATGAGGGTACTAGATAAAGTAGACCTGAAGAAAATGTTCCCACTGGTAAGGGAATCAAGGACAAGAGAGACAGATTTAAAGTGATTTGCAAAAGAACTAATAAGGAGAAAAACCTTCCTTCATTCTTGTCTGGAATGCTCTGCCTGGAAGTGTGGTGGAGACAAGTTCATTTGGTGCATTCAAGAGACATTAAATATTTAAATAAAAAGTATGTACAAGGTTAATGGACAAAGACCGGAAAATGACACTAAGTCATGATGTTCATTTGAAGACCAGGTGTAGACGTGATGAGCCGCCTCCTATACCTCAACACTTCTGTGATTCTGTGATAAGGAATATTACCTAATAGATTCAAAATCTTTCTTCAAACTATACTGTAAATTGAGGTCTATAGCTTCACAATCCTATGCATTTCTACTCATAACATTAGAAATTAATCAAACAAGTAGACTTTCTACAGGAAACTAGATATGCAGTTGGTGAAAAGTAAAAACACGCAGTTTGTGAAACATTGTTTGTTTTCTTTTAGTCAGTTCAGCTTTTTGGACATTGGTTTTTATGATGATGAAATGCTGACAGTACTATTGAAGGGACACACAGACAAAGAAGAGAAAGGTCGAATCTTGACACAGTTACCGTTATCATCGATTTACATCAATGACGAAACCGAGGAAGAATTCAACTTGGATACTGGTAAAAGGTAGTACTTGAATTATGTTGATAGCAGGCATTGTACTCGGTGATGCACAGTAAAATAGGATGGGGTCAGCATGGCTCTGTCAAGCAAAGGTCATGCCTGATAAACCTGTTAGAATACTTTGAGCGGGTAACGAGCAAGTTCGACAAAGCAGAGCCAATGGCCGTGATCTGTTTGGATTTCCAGAAGGCATTTGACAAGGTGCCACACAGGAGGTTGCTAAATAAGATAAGAGCCCATGGTGTTAGTGGTAAGGTATTGGCATGGATAGAGGATTGGCTGACAGACAGAAGGCAGAGAGTGGGGATAAAGAGGTCTTTTTCAGGGTGGAAGCTGGTAACTAGTGGAGTTTCACAGGGGTCAGCGTTGGGACCACAACTATTCATATTATACACCAATGATCTGGATGAAGGAACTGAAGGCATTGTTGCGAAGTTTGCAGATGAAACAAAGACAGGTGGAGGGGCAAGTAGTGTTGAGGAAGTGAGGAGGCTGCAGAAGAAATTGGACATGCAAGGATAATGGGCAAAGAAGTGGCAGATGGAATACATCATGGGAAAATGTGAGGTTATACATTTTGATAGGAAGAGTAGAAGTGTAGACCATTTTCTAAATGGAGAACGGCTTTGGAAATCTGAAGCACAAAGAAACTTGAGAGACCTATTTCAGGATTCTCTTAAACTTAACAAGCGGGTTCATTTGGCAGTTAGGAAGGCAAATGCAATGTTGACATTCATTTCAAGAGGGCTAGAAAGCAAGAGTAGAGATGTAGTGCTGAGGCTGTATAAAGTTCTGGTTAGACCATATTTGGAATACTGTGAGCAGTTTTGGGCCCTGTATCTAAAGAAGGATGTGCTGACATTGGAGGGGTCCTGAGGAAGTTTACGAGAATGATCCCAGGGATCAAGCACTCGTCATATGAGGAGCGGTTGAGGACTCTGAGTCTGTAATTGAAGGGATTTAGAAGGATGAAGGGTCAATTGATTGAAAGTTACCGAATACTGAGGGCCTAGATAAAGTGGACATGGAGAAGATATTTCCACAAGTAGGAGAAACTAGGACCTGAGGGCACAACCTCCGACTGAAGGGGCAACTCTTTGAGGAGGAATTTCTTCAGGCAGAGGGTGGTGAATCAGTAGAACTCATTGCGACAGAAGGCTTTGGAGGCCAAGTCATTGAGTGTATTGAAGACAGAGATAGATAGTTTTTTGATTAGTAAAGGGATCAAGGGTAATTGGGAGAAGGCAGGAGAATAGGTTGGGAAACATGATTGCATGGCACAGCAAATGCAATGGGCTGAGTGGTCTAATTCTGCTCCTATATCTTGTGATCTTATGACATGTTATACTTATTAGCTGGAGCAAGAAGTAGAAATTCAATTGATATCAGTTGAAGAGTCCTATCTTAGAAGAGTAACTGGTCCAATTCAAACTAGAGTTGTAATATCTTAACATCTCTGATTATCTGGGTGTTTATCTTCATAGTATGCCTTAAGGGATCTTGTCATTCCTGGAATAAACCTATAGTTTTATGCTCAGAGACTAAATAAATTAGGTCCGTATTCAATGGAATTTAAAAGACATAATCTTATTGAAATGTACAAGATTCTGAAGGAGCTTAGCAGGGAAGAAACAGATTGTTTCAGTTGGCTGGGGAATCTAGAAAATGGGTAGTCTTGCACTGTAATTTTCTCACTCTTTGGGTTATAAATCCAGGAGGGTTGTAGAATCTCTAGTGATAAGAATGTGTAAAGCTGAGATGCGCAGCTTTTTGATCTCCAATGTCGAGGAGTGCAAAAAGTGGGCAGGAAGGGGGAGCTGCAGCAGAAGTTAAGCCATGATCTTATAGACCAACAGGGCATCTCAACCGGCTGTCTAGTTGTCTTGCTCCTATTGCTTATGGTGGTCAACACATTAAACTATTTAGTCACTGAAATAACATTTCCTATAAACATTTAGAAGGTAAAAAGGAGATTTACAATTGTCAATCTTCTATTTTTACACACAAGCTTTTGTATCCATTAACTGCAAAATTATATCACTATTTGTTGCACTTGTTCCAAAACCTACATCTTGTTTTACTTCAGAAACATGCTTTCAGGAAGATGAACCTAAATAGTATAAGGACAAAGGCAGGATATCCATTGTCCAAACCATTGTCATATAAACAAAATATTGCCAGAAATTACATGAATTAAAATGTTTCCTCTTAACCAAATTTACAAAATATATGCCTATTTAATTGTTCATGTGATTA